ACACAGGGTGTTGGACTGGATGGGCCACTGGCCTGATCCAGCATTGGCTTCTGTTATGTTCTTATGTCTGGGGCAAGCGATGCTCTGTATTCTTGGTGATTGGGGGGGAGTGGGGGGGGGCTTCTGGTGTTCTGGCCCCACTGCTGGACCTCCTGATGGCCCCTGGTATTTTTGGCCACTGTGTGACACAGAGTGTTGGACTGGATGGGCCACTGGCCTGATCCGACATTGGCTTCTCTCTTCTGCTCTCTCTTTTCGTCCATCGGCCCAAGTCTCTCCTAACCGGGATGAGTGGTTCCGGTGGTACTGGGGTGCCTACCACGGTACCCACCATGGTAGCTACAACTGTACCCACAACGACGGTACCCGCCCTCCCCCCGATGAGTACGGGTACAGGAGTGCCAGTGACGATGGCCCCGCTGACGACCACGAGCCCTGGAGGGCCGGGGTCTACTGATGGAGGAGCCACCCCTCGGCCGGCGGTGTCGTTTATCCCAGTGCATTTGGGGAAGGGAGTAACCTACCGCCGCAAGGATCAGGATTGGGGCCGCCATTTGGGGGACTCCACGCAGACTACTTGGTCGTTGCCGGGGAGTCGGAGTTGGGACAGTGTGTGTGACCCCCGGCTTAGCTTGGGGAGCTTCGGGGTGACCCCAAGCAGACCCATCACGTTCCCATCGAGGTCTTCGTTAAGCCCGGGAAGGGACGTAGATGGGAGGCTGGCCGGCCTGGAACTGGACTACCGCACAATAATGTGGGACGTGGGGCAGTTGCATCCCTTACCGGGGATGGTGGCCCAGGCGGTGCAGACCCAACTGGCCGCCCATCGGAGCCCCCCGGTAATCCCCCCCCTTGGCCCGCCGGTCCCTCGGCCGCCTTCTCCGCCTGTTGACCCTTCGTCTGATGAAGTGTGCATGCACATGAAAGCTCGCACCATGAATAAAGCTTTGTTGGTCTAAAAGGTGCATTGGACTTTGTTCGACTGCTTCAGACCAACATGGCTACCAGCTTTATCAACCATTTGGGTGAATGTTATTGGGAAAGTGAGAAGGATCAAATTAACACCAGTTTCCATGGGAGGCTGGCTGACGGGTGTGATAAATGAGAGGTGAAGTCCTTTTTGTTAGCTCGACTTACCCGTTCTTCCCGTCCTTCCGAAAGGATGACAACGATTCGGCCTTGCCGCTTGCGTCCAGTTCGACCCATTCGCTGGACAAGACGAATTGGACTTTTCTGAGCATCAAAGCAGACGATGAGGTCAACTTCTCCAATGTCTAACCCTTCTTCTCCTACGCACGTGGAGACCAACGTGTTGTAGCCGCCTGCACGGAAGTGCTTCACCACCTAAAAAAAAGAGGAGGGGGAGGAGATTGGATTTATACCCCGCCCTTCACTCGGAGTCTCAGAGCAGCTTACAATCTCCTTCCCCTTCCCCTCCCCACAACAGACACCCTGTGAGGTAGGTGAGGCCGAGAGAGCTCTTTTGAGAACTGCCCTTGAGAGAACAGCTCTGAGAGAACCTGTGACTGACCCAAGGTCACGCTAGCAGCTCCATGTGGAGGAGTGGGGGATCAAACCCAGTTCTCCCAGATTAGAGTCCGCACACTTAACCACTTGTCAGCGAGCTGCCAAAGAGATTTGTGTGTATCTGAAATGCTTTCCCTTGGTCTCCCTTTTCCCCCCTTTGCTCGGCTGCAGAGAACACTTTCCGGTCTCATGGTATCAGGCATTCCTTTTCCTGTACGCTAAGGCTGCTTTGAACTATCGTAATCTGCAAGGTCACAGGTGGTGGCGAGTCGGCTTCGCTTAGTCCATAATGAACAAGAGTGTGAGATGAGCATAATTGTTTATCATTTAAAAAACTGTTTCTTTCACAGGCTTTAGGCGCGAATCTGACAGCATAACCGCAGGAGCGGGAACCATGTCCATTGGTTATTGCTTTTATGAAATTGCTTTATTATCCTTGCCCTGACTGTTGGGGTTATTCTAAACAGTGCACTTGTTCCAGAATCATCATAGCTTCAATAAATATTACTTTGCTTCAAATGTGTATTGGATTGATAGCTGTGGGATCGGACACCACTACACCAAACTAGACTGAATCATTTGAAATTTTGCTTTACAGAAATTTCTTCCACTGTGTGTTCATTCTATGTGTAAGGATGGGCACAAACTGGGAGGAAAAGTGAAGTTCGTGGCTGAACCACAAACTGAATCGGGAAGCTTGTCGCGAACCAAACCAGTTTGTGGCCCTGCGTACCATGTTGAAAGGGAGCACAATCCCTTTCAGCGAGGTTTGCAGAAAACCTGAAAAACAGCTGAGTGAGGGGGAACAGCTTGCTCCTTGCCGCTCAGCTGTTTTTGCAGCTTCTGGTGGGAGACCCTTTAAACCCCTGCTTTCTGCTCCATCCACAAACTGGCACAAACTGCTTTAAAAGTTCATGGAAGTTTGTGACGCTAGACCCAACATGAACTTGGGTTCGCGAACCACAAACAGGGCAAAACTAGAGACAAATTTTGCTTCATGGTTCGGTTTGTGCCCATCCCTATCTCTGCAGTTATTTTCCCACTACAGCAGGGGTCCCCCAGTGTGGTGCCTACAGGTGCATTGGTGCCCACTGACACCTTCCCTTGTGCCCATCCAATGTTTTTAGGAAGTGGGAGGGGCCACGTGGGGCTTTTGCCCAGCAGGGCTTCTGATTGGATGCACAGATTTTTAAAGAGCTGCTTGTCACTCACCACAACATTCTTGCCACACTGGAAATGCTGAAGAGTTACTATTGGAATTAAGCATGACCTCACTCCCCAATATCCTGTGCTTGGCCCCACCTCCTGTGGTGGCCATTTTGTGAATGCGTCCACCACCTTGCGTCAGAATCTCAAAGGTGCCCACTGGCTTAAAAAGGTTGAGGACCCCTGCCCTACACTAATAGTACAGTAATGTGGCCCATGATGATCCATAAGAACATAAGAGAGAAGCCAATGTTGGATCAGGCCAATGGCCCATCCAGTTCAACACTCTGTCACACAGTGGCCAAAAATACCAGGTGCCGTCAGGAGGTCCAGCAGTGGGGCCGGGACACTAGGAGCCCCCCCCCCACTGTTGCCGTCCTCAAGCACCAAGAAGACAGAGCATCCCTTGCCCCCGACCGAGCGTTCCTATCTGTACCTTGTGGCTAATGGCCATTGAGGGACCTCTGCTCCATATGCTTATACAATTCCCTCTTGAAGCAAACCATGCTTGTAGCCTCCACCACCTCCTGTGGCAGTGAATTCCATGTGATAATCACTCTTTGGGCAAAGAGGTACTTCCTTTTATCCGTTTTAACCCGACTGCTCAGCAATTTCATGGAGTGCCCACGAGTTCTCGTATTGTGAGTAAGGGAGAGAAGTACCTCTTTCTCGACCGGCTCTATCCCGTGCATAATCTTATAAACCTCGATCATGTCGCCCCTCAGCTGTTGTTTCTGTTAAACACATCCACAAAGAGCTATGTGGCTAACAGTAATAGTTTACCCCAGGGGGTCCCCAATCTTGTTGAACCTGTGGGCACTTTTGGAAAACTGAGAGTAGCACCACCACACAATGGTTGCCGTGGGGTGGGACGGAAGGCGAGGAACAAACACAAAACGCAGGAAGTTTAAACAACATCTTGAAAGGTTTCCAGCCAAGCATCCTCCCATGATGCAAGCAGCTGTGTCCACGGGGATGCTTCCAACCCACCGAGGGAGGCTGCGTCCCAGGCTCTTCTGAAGCACCTCCTACCTCAAGGAAGCAGACGGTGGCTAAGACCGAGGGCCAGCTCGGTGTGGCGGTTAAGAGCGGCAGATTCTAATCTGGGGGGCCCATTTTGATTCCCCCACTCCTCTTCCACTGGAAGTCCGCTTGGGTGACTTGGGACCAGTCCCAGTTCTCTCTAAACGCTCTCAGCCCCACCTGCCTCACAAAGTGCCTGTTGGAGGGAGAGGAAGGGAAGGCGACGGAAAGCCGCTTGGAGGCTCTTCAGGATACAGAAAAGCAGGGTATAGAAACCAACTCTTCTTCTTCTTCCCTTCAGAGAAGAGATGCTTTGGGGTAGAAGCGTGTGGATGTCAGGAAATGTACTGGCAAGCACCGTGGAACCCACAGGACACCATACTGGGGGTGACTAATATATTAGTTTATGTGGATTTACACTGCATGCTTAAACTTGGCTTTAGGTATTTAGGAGAGACTAATTTTGAAATTTTAGGAATGCAGCAATAGTACAGGTCGGAACAACAGTGACGGTTCTACAGCCACCGTAATGTGTATAATTGTAACCAGTGTTCCCTCTAAGCTGAGTTAGTGTGAGCTAGCTCACACTAACTCAGCTTAGAGGGAACATTGACTGTAACCAGGGCCTAAATGTTGGTGTGTTTTTTTTAAAAAAAACACACCAACATTTAGGCCCTGGTTACAGTCAATGTTCCCTCTAAGCTGAGTTAGTGTGAGCTAGCTCACACTAACTCAGCTTAGAGGGAACATTGACTGTAACCAGGGCCTAAATGTTGGTGTGTTTTTTTTAAAAAAAAACAACAACAACAGTGTGTATACATCGTACACAGCAAAGACCGTCAAGCCGTCCACATTCTAAATGGCCGCCACGGTGTTACAGACGGCATTCGCCGGGCACTACGGCATTCTTTGGAAGTGCACTCTACAACCCTACTGGTGCCGTATCCCTTTGCCAGCAGGGCTCTCTGGCCAGTCATTCCATCTCACTACCTCGAGCTGCTCCTTCTGCGTAAAGCCCTTTGCGCTCTTCCCCGTGGAATGCCCCACAAAAGTCATGACCCTCACGACCGGGTGGTGCCGACTCAGCATTTCCGCGATTTCATGAACGCTGTCACGGAACGAGGAGAAGATCATGACTCTGGTATCGGCCGGCTTGCTTTCGACGGGCTTCTGGTCTGTTTAACAGAGCGGGAAATATAGCAAATCACTGCAAGGCGGAGATCCAGAGCACTGGCTGCAAAGCCCTGATGCCTATCAATTTCAGTAAAAGACAGCAGGCCTTAGAGTCCACAGGCAACTAACATTATTATGCACATTTGGGGACTTTTCTGGTCATGCAGTATCGGAACAGGAGGCCTTGGGATGGGATTGAGGTGTCGCGTGTTCTGGATGTGGCCGCGCTCCTCCCGAAAGCAGCTGGCTCATAGCTCGGGGATGCTGCTTGACTCAGGCCTCCTGTTGGATAAGCAGATGGTAGTTGTGGCCAGGATCATCTTTGGCTGGTAAGCCGGCTGCAGCCCTTCCTGGGCAAAAATGATCTTGCCACTATGGTGCAGGCACTGGTGACATCTAGATTACACTACTGCAAAGTGCTCTACGTAGGGGGTGCCCTTGAAGAGTGTACAACTGGTACAGAACACTGCAGCTAGACTATCGACCCTATGATTCCATTCTTGTTCCATCTACACTGGCTCCTGATTTATTTGGGGGTCCAATTCAAAATGCTGGTACTGACACTGAAAACCCTATAAGGCATGGAACCAGCACACCTTAAAGAATGCACGGAGCCTGCTGGGTGACCTTGGGCCAGTCCCAGCTCTCTCAGAACTCTCTCAGCCCCACCTGCCTGACAAGGGATAACCTCTGAGGCCATCTTTAGGGGCTCTGCTTCATTTCAAGATAGATGGAAGGTCTTTCACATCACCCGCTACCTCATCCTTTTAACTGGAGATGCCGGGATTGAACATGAGACCTTCAGCATACAAAAAAAAAAAAGTTTAAAAGCTTTACCCCTGATCCACAGTTCCACCACTAAAAGCCGAATCTAATTCTCTAGCAAAGCAGGTGAGAAGGGAATCTGAATAGCAAACTGTGAAAAGTAAGAATGGATCACAGATTACTTTAAATGCACCAGAAACAGAAAGCGTTAGGAAGGAGAATTTTGTTGTTGTTCAGTCGCACAGTCGAGTCCGACTCTTCGCGACCCCATGGACCAGCTCCTGCCAGGAGAATGCAGGTCCCGCCAGGAGAATGCAGGTCACTTAAAAAATTTTCCATCACCATGTGGGTTGGAGACTGCAAAACACTACAATTTAACAGTTTCAGACCAAATCATTTTCGTTCCGTCTAAGACCTACCTTTGTGTTCCTTCCAGGATTTGAAGTGCTCTACAACAACCTCTTCTAATTTCTTTAACTTTGGGTGACTATAGATGAACGGTTTCAATTTTTCCTTTCCTGTAACCCCAAAAGTTCATGGTTTGTTTGTTTTTTTAAAAATACATTTATCACCCAACTCATGAAATATTTCCATTCACAATATGAATATTTTAGTACCTCAGTAAGGAAACTCAGAAACAATAAAACAGATATATTTGAGGATTCCTTTTTTTAGATAAAAAGAAAAATAAAGGAATACATTTGTTTAAAACTAAACTGAAACTTGAAACTAAACCGCTGAATTGTCATTCCTTGCAGCTAATTCCCCTCCCCTTCAGATTTCAGAAGCTGAGCAGGGTCAGGTGGGGAGGTGGGGAGACCACTCAGGAAGTTCCAGGGTCATGAGGCAGAGGCAGCCAATAGCAAACAACCTCTTGCCTTGAAAACCCTACAGGGTCGTCGTAACTTGATGGCACTTAACATCACCCCCCCCCACACACACACACACAGGGGAAACGTGGCTCTTTCAGGTGGCTCCACGTCCACCTCAGTGCTGCACACAATGCCAGGTCCATGAAAACAAGAGCTGTATAATATCTGACCCGTAGTACAGGTGAACCTGGTTTGCTTGACTGAAACAAGGCTCAATGAATTGGATGTCAGTTTGGCACGACTGGCACCAGCTATGAAGCCCCTCGCCAATCTCACGCTAGAGGACTGAGGGGGCTAGGAAGCAATTATTTTCTGGGGAATCAACCCCCCCCCCCAGTCCTTCAGATTAGAATCCACCGCTCTGAACCACCACCCGATGCTGGCTCTTCTTCTTAAGAGCGACTAACTCTTATCTGAAGAGTTGAGTTTGATTCCCCACTCTTCCTCCACATGGAGCCTTGCTGGGTGACCTTGGGCCAGTCCCAGTTCTCTCTGAACTCTCTCAGCCCCACCGACCTCACAAGGTGCCTGTTGTGGGGAGGGGGAGGGAAGGCGATTGTAAGCGGCTTTGATACCCCTTGAGGTGGTATGCAAACCTACTCTTCTTGTATGTCCCTTCGGCTGGGCACCCCAGGCAGGGTAGGGTTCCTGCTGGTTTATTTATTTCAATATTCGTCGGCCCCCTTTCTTTCAAGGCAGCTTACAATATTTATAACAAAGTACACAGAATAGGTTACATTTAAAAATATAAAACCAAGCTTCAAAGTAACAGTTTAGGAATGCTTTAACCAAATATAATGCTAATGAAACCATTTCCACCTGCCTCCTGAAGACTGACAGTGAGGGGGCTAGGCACACCTTCATGGGGAGTTTCTCCCATAATTTATTATTTATTTATTTATTCCTTCAATTTATATACTGCTCACCCCCTAAGGGCTCTGAGCGGTTTACATCATACAGTTGATACCATTCCTAATCTAAGGCCACACACATACAATGGGGAAGTGACTAACCTAGCAGGCACCCTATGGTGGAGTCTTTCGTTGTTATAAACTTTCCTGCGGGAGGTCTGTGGGGTTGCCACTAAAAAGGCCCTCTCTTGTGTAGTCACCAGACAAACTACTTTGATTGGCAGGACAGTGTCAGGATTCGATCGTCAGCTCACACCACACAGCGCTTCATAAGAAGTATTCTGTTTATTGGTAGTTCAGAACTATGACACGTGAACTTCTTTTGTCAGGAATGGCCCAAGGCAGCGGGGCACCCTGAATTATACTAGTTTCCAAATGCCCCCCCCCCCCGTTACGAGCAGAAGCCAATAAGCACTGTGCACGCAGAAAAGAAAGCGGGCAGAGTAGGAGCCCTTTGTTCCCAGCAGGTTAAGGGCAGCTGGACCTTCCAAGGTCAGGAAAGCAAAGGCAGATAACCACCCAGACAGGAGGCATCGTGTTCGTGTACCAGGCAGAGGAGGGGAGAATCTCCCCTCCACACATTCCAGAGAACGGCAGTGTTAGCGGACAGACAGTCAGGAGGGCCTCTTCCTGTGATCTTAATTCCCAGGCATGAACATGGGGGAGGAGATGGCCCTTCAGATATCCCAGTCCCAGGCCGTGTAGGGCTTTAGAGGACAAAACCATGTTCTTGAATTGGGCTCAGGAGTGGCCATTTTATTTGCCAGAGCTGTAATGGGGTATACATTGCAGAGATCTTTGGGAAGGGGGTACCCTGGGCTTTTATTTTGTCTATGTTAAACTGTGATTCTTTTAACTATGATTTGTAAGCGGCCTTGAACCACGAGGAAGATATAAACATTTTAGTACATCAAGGACAAGAGGTCCCGCTGCCTCAGTGGCACTGTGCGCATGAGCCTCAGAGAACCCACGTGCAATTTCAGCCCACATTTACAATGTTCCTTATCCTTTGGCAGACAGTTTCAGAGAGCTGGTTTGCAGCAGAGCAGCCAGATTGGGGTCCATTAGCACTATAGAGACCAACGGGATTTCCAGGGTAGGAGCTCCTTATGGGAGCTTTGACTTTCGAGAGTTCACACCCCGACAATCTTGCTGGTTTCTAAGATGCTGCTGGACTCAATTCCAGCATTGATGTGTTCTGAGTACAAAAAAATTTAAAAGGCCGACCTGATCTCTTGTTGCCATTCGCCAAAGTCTCAGCCGCCGCCGCCGCAAACATGTTTTCAAGCTGGCTGTACAACGTCATGAATTCTTCATTGCGCCTTAGTTCATTTCTGGCACGAGTCATACCTTTGAGAGAGACACCAGTTTAAAGATGCAACTTTAACACCCACCTTACACAGACCATCGACAATAAGACACAAGCAAAGCCATAACGTGACATTATTTCAAAAGTTTAGTGCTACTTGAGAAGGCACACGTGTCTGAACAAGCTTGTCTTTGACGGGTATTGACAGGATTCATTAATTCAATTTAACAACTACCAGTCAATTTAGCATCAGTATTTTAAAAGTCAAGCCCCAACGGGAGTTTCTAGAAATACAAGCCCGCTTCTACTTGCATGAAGTCTTCCAAAAGCCGGTCCTACAAAAGACACATTGTGCAGCTAAAATTCACGAACTCCTGTAAGTTCTCAAGTCTGCATCCATGAATTTTAGCCGCACAATGGCAATAAGCATCCACACAACTATAAATGAAAGCTCCCCCCCCCCCCTTTTGGAAGACTTCATGCAAGCAGAAGCGGGCTTGTAATTCCGGAAACTCCTGTTGGGACTTGACTTTTAAAATACTGATGCTAGATAGACTGGTAGTTCTTAAATTGAATGAATGGACGTTATTGCTATACTGAATGTATTGAATATATGTACCTGACAAGGATGTTATAATAGCACACAATGCACTTTATAGAATGATAGTTATAAACAGTACATGTTAATTTACAAAAGGTTCTTGCAGTGTGTATTTATTCGTTACTTGACTCTCCTAACACCGCAGCTTGGGTTGCTACAGGGTATTGACAGGAGCCAAAGGAAGCCACTCAGTGATCAGCAGACCCAAGCCAGATATTGCCACCGAATCCAGCTAAAATCAGCTTGCCTTTGCACAGGACTCCCTCGGTGCCCATCCCACCCACCTAGGGTTGCCAACCTCCAGGCGGGAACTGGAGAGCTCCAGGAGCCACCACTATCTCCAGCTGACTGAGACTGGTCCCCCTGAAGATGACTGCTCCGGAGGGTGGCATCGTACTTTGCTGAGGCCACTCCCCTCCTCAGGCCGCACCCTCAAGCTCCGCCCCAAAACTTTCTAGGAATTCCCTGGCCCAGCGCAGGCAGCCCGACACATCCCCGCAGCCAGGACGTTGCCTTTCTATACGTGGTGGTTCTTCCGCCACTACTCATCTCAGCCCAACCCTGAGACTATTACACCATGCCACCAGGGTGCCAGAATTAGTGCTCTCTTGAACGGAACTATTTAGGCAAAGAAGGTTTGGCTGGTATACCCAATGGTCCAATTTTCAACAATTAACAGCCACACAAACTGGCTCTTCTTCCAGCTGGTATACAGAACTAGTAGACAGTACTTCCTCCTTGACAGGAAAGCAACACCTTATATTTTATTTTTTGCCTGAAAATAAGACCCATATTAACCTGCCAAGAGGTCCTGCCCTATATACCCCCCAAGAGAGGCAAAGGTCTTGAACACCAGACGCCGGGCTTCCAAACCTACGCAAGCTGCACTAGCCAGGCCTTTTAAACTCAGAACTCTCACAATATTGATGAATAGGTTTTTTCTTTAAAAAGCTCTCCATTTGGTGATGACTATTCTATATACAAAATCACATTCTTTTCTGTGACAATATTGCCTTTTGTTGCTTAAACTGGACAGTAGTATATGCACACTACTGTGTACAGCATACTGTAAGAACGATCCCCCCTGTGTAATTTTTGCTCCATTCAATGAGTCATGTTAATACTTATACTTTGATTCAGTTAAGAACATCAGAAGAGCCCTGCTGGATCAGACCAGTGAGGGTCCACCTAGTACAGCCTCCTGTCTCACACAGTGGCCAACCAGTTCCTCTGGAGGGCCAGCAACAGGGCACAGAGGCCGAGGCCTTCATAAGAACATCAGAAGAGGCCTACTGGATCAGACTAATAGTCCATCTAGTCCAGCATCCTATCTCACAGAGTGGCCAACCAGTTCCTCTGGAGGGCCAACAAAAGGGCATAGAGGCTGAGGCCTTCATAAGAACATCAGAAGAGCCCTGCTGGATCAGACCAATGGTCCATCTAGTCCAGCATCCTGTCTCTCACACAGTGGGCAGCCAGTTACTCCTGAGGGCCAGCAACAGGGCATAGAGTCCGAGGCTTTCCCCTGATGTTGCGTGACTTGCGTCCTGGCTCTGGGATTCAGAAAATTGGGGCCTCTCTGAACGTGGAGGTTCCCCTCAGTCACCGTGGCTAGTAGCCATTGACAGGCTTATCCTCCATGAATCTATCTAACCTCCGTTTAAAGCTGTCTATTCCTGTGGCCATCACTACATCCTCTGGCAGCAAATTTCACATTTTAATCACTCCCTGTGTAAAGTTCTGTCTTTTAAATTTCTGGTTGGTTCCAGACTTCTACAATACTAATCGTATTGCATTGTTTATTGAATGTCCCACTGTGCTGATGATATTGACTCACTCTGTGTAATCAGCCTTGAGTCCCTGTAAGAAAGAAGAAGAAGGAGGAGGAAGAGGAGGAGGAGATTGGATTTATACACCGCCCTTCACTACCCAAGGGAGTCTCAGAGTGGCTTACAATCTCCTTTCCCTTCCCCTCCCCACAACAGACACCCTGCGAGGTGGGTGGGGCTGAGAGAACTCTGACACAAACTGCTCTTTCAGGAACAGTTGTGGCCGAGCTTGTGACTGACCCAATGTCACATCAGCAGGTGCCAGTGGAGGAGTGGGGAATCAAACCTGGTTCTCCCAGATTAGAGTCCGCACACTTAACCACGACACCAAACTGGCGGACTACAAATCACATAAATCATAGAATCATAGAGTTGGAAGGGGCCATACAGAGCATCTAGTCCAACCCCTTGCTCGATGCAGGACCAGCCTAAAGCATCTCTGACAAGTATTTGTCCAGCCTCTTCTTGAAAGCTGTCACTGAAGGGGAGCTCACCACCTCTCTAGGAGCTAATCCACCTCTCTAAATAAAGTTCTCACACCCCTATACTTTGTCACTGCGGTTTTAAGATCCCATAGAAGAGCTCCCCAAAGTGCTCTGGAATTGAGATTCTGCAATGAGCGAATACCTTTGATTAACTAAAACATTAAATTATGTAAAAGCCACAGGGGAAGATTACAGCCATCACCTCTATTTTCCATGTCGCCCAATGATTTCCAGAGATTACACAAGTGCTTGTCTAAATGCAAATGTTCAGGCTGGTCTACAGCAGTGTCCCCTCTAAGCTGAGTCAGTGCGAGCTAGCTCACAGGGTTTTAGCCTCCAGCTCACACATTTTTGTCTTTGCTCAGGGAGGAGGGCTCCAGAGCAAACTAATGTATGCAGCAGCCAAATCGCTCGCTCACAACTTTAATGCCAGTAGCTCACAGAGTAGAATTTTTCCTCACAGGACTCCCCAGCTTAGAGGGAGCATTGGTCTCCAGCTACCCGCAAAGAAGTGTTCTATCCGAGACGTGGGTCAGTCTCTACACGTCAACAGCTGATCTCGGGAGGCCTGAAGCAGGTTTCCTCACAAAGGCAGCCCTTACCTTTCGATCCGTCCATAATTCCAGATAAGAAGATATACAACGAGCGCATCCCCATTTGCAGCAGCAGCTCATAACCGTGATACAGACTAATACAAAGAGCAAAATCGCCTTCTATGATCCCTTGCTGCACCCCCTAGGAGACAAGGGATTCAGTTACACAAGGCTTATACACACCCCGAGGAATTGTCGGTCTTCTCCATGAAATATGGAAAAAGAATCCCAAACCCCCGATTAAAACAAATGCAATTCTCATCTACAGGTGGCTCGGTCACCTCTGAAAGCAGACGTACCCGCTGTTCTGGCTCCAGGAGAATCGGCTGCTGGATTACGACACATATCGCATGCGAAGCTGGCCTTATACAAATCATTGCAGGGGGGGAGCAGAATTTTGTGTTTGGACCGGCAACAGCTCTTAGGTCTCGAGCAGAAAGGTCTTTCAGCTCTGCGGCTCAAGATCCTTCACTTGAAGATGCCGGGGAGTGAGTCTAGGACCTCTGGCAAGGCACACTTGTGCTCTGCCGAGGCCCTCAGCATATCACCAGAGAAGCACTAGCTCCCTACGTTGGTGGCACCATGCCTCCGTTTTGCCCCAGGTTCACCCAGCCAGGTGCAAGTGGAGGAGTGGGGAATCAAACCCGGTTCTCCCAGATTAGAGTCCGCACACTTAACCACGACACCAAACTGGCTCACAAGCTCGCAAGCCATCATGTTTCAGCCCCACCCCCATTGATGACAAAGATGTACTTTGTAGGACTGGGGCACTACTGAGACAATACTAGAAGTAATTTTCAACACCAAGCAGCACTATATAAATGGTTAAATACTATTGATTAGGTGGGAGGGGGGAAGAAACTTCCACAGTAAGATTATGCCGCCGAGCAATTTTTACCGAGAAGCAGGAGGCAGGGTTTTTCCTGAACTGATCTCTTGCTAGGATTATCTGGTACTTCGTAAGAGCAGAAATATCTCGTTGGGACAAAACCCGGAATCGAATCAGACGGCCAGCGAAAGCTTCCAGGACCTGCATGCAAAGAGAAGAACGTGGAAGAAGTCTGATGAATACCTCCCCTAAGCCTTCATCTATCAGCAGCAATGCGTTGGGCACTACGGAACATGGAAGTCGCTCTGTCTGCACCTAGCGGGTTTCCCACTGAAGAAAGACAGATCATTCAATGTAAAGAGTAGCATAGCCATGTGCACACATAAAGGGGATCACTTTATTTATTTATTTATTTATTTATTTATTATTTAGATTTTTATCCCGCCCTCCCCACAGGCTCAGGGCGGCTTACAGGGCATATCGCCGGTATAATACTACAATAAAAACATTAAAAATATTAAATAGTATCAAATATTAAGACATCATACAAACAAAACAGCATACTTTAATATATTCATCTGCTGAGGAGGAGCGGGGAAAACCCTAGAGGGCACATGGCTGGCTTAGAATTCATAAGCCAGTTAAGGAAGATGGGTTCTTTCTACAGGAAGCCTCACTACACATCTGTGGAGGGACCTATAGGGAACAGGGGAGGAGACAAGGATACACTGCTGGCTAATCGAGAGACAACTCTCCTGATGAACGGCTGGGACAAGGATCAGGACCTGGGTTCAGATCCCGACTCTGCCACTGAAGCTCGCTGGAAGACCTCGGGCCAGGCACACGCTCTTAGCTTAGCCTACCTCACAGGGTCGTTGTGGCAACAAAATGGAGGAGGGGAGAAAGATGTAAGGCCCCCCCGGGTCCCCACTGGGGAGGAAGGCAGGACGGGAATGAAGCAAACACTAGACAGAGCCAAAACCAGTACTGTTCAACTGACTTCCAAGCAGACAGTTTGGTGCAGTGGTGAAGTGCGCGGACTCCAATCTGGGAGAACCGGGTTTGATTCCCCACTCCTCCACTCGCAGCTGGCTGGATGTCCTTGGGCAAGCCCTAGTTCTGATAACAGCTGTCCTTGAAAAAGAGCAGTTTCTGCCAGAGCTCTCTCAGACCCACCCGCCTCACAGGGTGTCTGTTGTGGGGAGGGGGAAGGAGTTTGTTAGCCATTGTCTCCGAGTGAAGTGCGGGGTATAAATCCAATCTCTTCCTCCTCCTTTACAGAACCGTAGGACTGCTATCATATCAAGGACCAAGGGAAATGACCGGCTTAAGTCTTGCTTTTGTTTTCTTTTTTCCCTCGTGAACTTGGTGTTGTAAGAGGTTGTGTTGTGCATGTTGTCGTTTTTTTAAATAAAAACCAGAGTGATCCCACGTTCACATCCACCGGTGAGACCTTCGGGAAGGCCAAGCAATCCATATTTTAAAATAACCAACAGTAAATCATGGGGGCACCAAGGAATTCACAGCATACGAGAAAAGGTGATAAGACAGACACTTATTACAGCAAATCTATACAAGGAAGCGGTGCAGGACCACACAGGAGTATTACGGCAGGATAAATCTGCATGGAGATGACGTCTGGACTTGGCATTTAACAAGCAAGGAGTTGCTGGGAAACCTATGGAACAGAACTTGCATACCTAACAGCTGCTGCTCGTAAAAGGAGCCGGGGGGGGGGGATATGGGAACAAACATTTATTTAGAAGAAGGGGAGATTAGATTTATACCCCGCCCTTCACTCGGAGTCTCAGAGCAGCTTACAAACTCCTTTCCCTTCCCCTCCCCACAACAGACACCCTCTGAGGTCGGTGGGGCTGAGAGAGCTCTTTCCAGAACTGCCCTTTCAAGGACAGCTCTTGTCGGAACTACGGCTTGCCCAAGGTCATCCAGCAGCTGCCAGTGGAGGAGTGGGGAATCAAACCCGGTTCTCCCAGATTAGAGTCCGCGCATTTAACCACTACACCAAACTGGATCTTCATTCATTCATTCATTCATTCATTCATTCATTCATTCATTCATTCATTCCCAATGAGGACTCAAAGTGGCTTTCATCATTCTCCTCTCCTCCATTTTACCTTCACAACAACCCTGTGAGGTAGTTTAGGCTGAGAGAGTGTGACTGGCCCAACATCACCCAGCAAGCTTCCATGGCACGAGTGGGGGTTGGAACGCGGGTCCTCCCAGGTCCTAGTCTGACACTCTTAACCACGACACCAGACTGGCTTTCATTCTAATGTTTCCCAGATGTGGAAGGGTCGAACCTCTCCCGGATTCAGATCAGTTCCCCGAGATAAAGATTTCCCAGATCCCTCTGGAGGCCTCTCGCGCCAAGAACAGCACACATTTGGTTGAACGGTAGTGGGGACTCTTTTTCCTTCCGCCAAGTCGCATCGTACTTCTGGAGACCCCCGGTGGGGTTTTCAAGGCAAGAGATGTTCAGAGGCAGTTTTGCCAGGGCCGGCCTCTGCGTAGTGACCCTTCTATCCCTTGGTGGTCTCCCCTCCAGACACTGACCAGAGTTGACCCTGCTTAGCTTCTAAAATCAGGCTAGCCTGGACTACCCGGGTCACTGAGTCAAAATTAAAACAAGTTAATTCACAAGAAAAAGGAGGAGGGGGAGGAAGAGGAGATTGGATTTATATCCTGCCCTTCACTCGGAATTTCAGAGCAGCTCACAAACTCCTCCCTCCCCACAACAGCACCCTGTGAGGTCGGTGGGGCTGAGAGCGCTCTTTCGAGGACTGATCTTTCAGGAAGAGCTCTGACAGAACTATGGCTTGCCCAAGGTCATCCAGCAGCTGCGAGTGGAGGAGTGAGGAATCAAAGCCAGTTCCCCCAGAGGAGGAGGAGGAGGAGAAGATTGAATTTATACCCCACCCTTTACTACTTGAAGAAATCTCAGAGCGGCTTACAACCTCTTTTCCCTTCCCCTCCCCACCACAGACACCCTGTGAGGTAGGTGGGGCTGAGAGAGCTCTTTCGAGGACTGATCTTTCAGGAAGAGCTCTGACAGAACTATGGCTTGCCCAAGGTCATCCAGCAGCTGCAAGTGGAGGAGTAAAGAATCAAACCTGGTTCTCCCAGATTAGAGTCCGCGCACTTAACCACTACCCCAAACTGGCTCTGAGAAGTTTCTCCCCCCCCCCCCCTAATCAATAGTATTTAACCATTTATATGGTGGTGTTTACTGTTCAGAATTACTTCTAGTACCCCAGTCCTACAAGGTACATCTTTGTCATTAATGGGGGTGGGGCTGAAACATGACGGCTTGCTGGCTTTTGACAGGTAGGGGAAGTGAGAACATAAAAACATAAGAGAAGCCGATGTTGGATTAGGCCAATGGCCCAACCAGTCCAGCACTCTGTCACACAGGGGCCAAAAATACCAGGCACCATCTTTGTTTGAATAACATTGTTCATGTGATCACAAACCGATGGGGTTTAAGAGGGGGGGGGGACTGTTTCTAATGTGAAATGTAGGTCTCCAGTTTTCTCATTTCTCTTGTTCTATCTTTTGACCTAATTTTCAAAAGTAAGACAACCAGATGGCCAGGATACACCTTGCTTGGAACACCACCTGATCTCATCATCCGCCGCAAAACAGACCCAAGCAGGATTATGGAGATAGACGGGAACACCTCGTCTCCTGGCACATAATACTAAATCTAATAAGTTCAACAAACATAACCTACTTAGAAAAGACGTTCTAACTGTCCTTACTCTTATTTCTCTGGGAGTCTCCTGCTTATTTCTAAAGGAAAAATACATAACAATCTTAAAATAATTGTTCTGGGCTTTTAAGCCATTATCTTATTATTGTTATGGCACCAGTTTCAAGCTAAAAATACACACAGGCCAGAAAGTCGACGGTCTGGACTAAACTGACTTGAGTTCAGACGAGGAGAATGAAATAAATGCCTGGTTTCTACAGCCCACCCACTAAACAAGCCTTATGACCGTACAAAATACTGACGCGGTAACAATGCATACACAGAGGGTCTGCTATACCAGCTCTCGGAAGTTAAGCAGGGTTGGATGGGGGACTCTGCAGAGAAAGAACCTCTCGCTTGCCTTGGAAGACCCTTGCTGGGGTCACCATCCATCAAGCTGCAACTTTATGGCACTTATACACATGACATTGCTTATGACTATGTTAAAACACACTTCTTTAAATAACATGAAACTATCGTTCTCCTTATGGAGCCGTGGTGGCTCAAGTGGTTAAGATGCTGAACTGCAGGCTGTGGAAGGTCAGTAGTTCAGCAGTTCAAGACCCAGGTGCCGCATGACGGAGTGAGCTCCCGTCTCTAGTTCCAGCTCCTGCCAACCTAGCAGTTCGAAAGCAAGAATTTGCAAGTAGATAAATAGGTACCACTTCGGTGGGAAGGTCACAGCGTTCCGTGCACCTCGGTGTTTAGTCATGCCGGCCACATGACCACGGAAACGTCTTCGGACAGCGCTGGCTCTTCGGCTTTGAAACGGAGATGAGCACCGCAACCCTAGAGTCGGATTCGACTGGCTTTCGAGCAAGGGAGACCTTTACCTTTACCTATCGTTCTCCTGGCCCTGGTCTGGATCGCCCAGACTAGCTGGATCTCATTCGATCTGCGAAACTAAGCAGGGTTGGCCCTGGTCAACATTTGGATGGGAGACCACAGAGTAATGGCAAAGTCACTACGCAGAGCCGGGCAATGGCAAACCACCTAAGAACATCTCTTGTCTTGAAAACCCCACTAGGGGTCAGCTTTAAGTCAGCACTTTTCACCATCATTATTCTTCCTGCTACCTAAAATGAGGAACATTTTTATGACACTGATTTCCAGTCTTTTTCTGGGGAGAAATCTGAATAAAAGTCCTTACTCTTTCAACTAAGCTCACATGTGGAACAGGCCGACCGTAGGAATGTTTGTTCCCACGGGAGCCTTCAAACACGGGTACTGCCGCCGCTGCTGCCAAAGGATGTACTGATGGCCACAAGAGTAAAGAGCTTTAAAGGGGGGTTAGATAGGTTCATGGAAGACAGGTCTATCAGTGGCTACTAGCCACGGGGACTAAGGGGAACCTCTACATCTGAAGGCAGTAAACCTCTGAATCCCAGCGCCAAGGAGACAGCATCGGGGAAGGTCTCACCCTCTATGTCTT